AGGAACCCCAAATGAGAAGGCACGAGGCCGCTTGTTGCTCCACGAGCTGAACGTCGGCATCCCGTCGAAGACATGGGGAAGACCAGGGGCGAACTGCAAAACAACGCAGGAACGCTGAGCCCCTCCCAAACGAAAAGGGTTCCTTCTTCTTCTTCTTCTTCAGGAGGAGGAGGAGGAGGAGGAGGAGGAGGAGGAGGAGGAGGAGGAGGGGGGAGGAGAAGGAGGATGAGGAGGGGAGGAGGGGAGGAGGAGGAGGAGGGGAGGAGGAGGAGGGGGAGGGAGGAGGAGGAGGAGGAGGAGGAGGAGGAGGAGGAGGAGCAGCGGAGGGGAGGAGGAGAGGAGGAGGAGGAGGGGGAGGAGGTTGCTTCTTCAGCGCCCCGACTGTACACCGCCACAGCCCCCCCCCCCCCCGGACAGGGCCAGACCGGGCCGTGGGGCAGGGTGCATAGTTACGGCACCTACATGCGGATGTTGGAAGAAAATGAAAACATGTCAACACATACTCAACAACAGTCAGCATGTATGACAACATATATTCCCCATACGAACTGTTGGACTATGTTGGAACACTCCTCCATCAGAGGGACATGCCCGACTCAACGCTAGGCGCCAGAGGACAAAACTAGAATAAAAACAAACACCATAAACATAAAATGGTTGGCGCTCCGCGCGGATTTCTTGGATCTGTGCTGGACCCTCCTGCCTGGCGCGCGGAGCGCGTCAGGGGCGGCGCCGGAGGCGCCGCCGTGGGGGCCTAGCGCAGATCCAAGAGATCCGCGCGCAGCGCCAAAAGATTACGTTGATGGCGTTTTTCCCTACCTAGGCTCTGCCTAGAAGGTTCTTACTCTCTTAGCTTAAAGGGGCCGGGCAGTGGAACGCGCCCCGGGCGGTTCCCCCAGTCCCCGCCCCGCGGTTCCCCCAGCTACGTCCCCTTAGCTTAGCGTTGCTCATCTCATCTTAGCTTAGCCTAGCTTAACTTAGCTTAGCTTAGCTTAGCCTAGCCTAGCCTAGCTTAGCTTAGCATAGCTAAGCCTAGCTTAGCTTACCTTAGTTTAGCTTAGCCAAGCGCAGCGTTAGCATAGCATGGCATAACACAGCATCACATAGCATAGCATAGCGCCGCATAGCGTAGCGCAGCATAGCATAGCATAGCATAGTAGATCATAGCATAGCGCAACATAGCATAGCAAAGCTTAGCTTCGCATAGCACAGCGCAGCATAGCATAGCATAACATCATAACATAGCAAATCGTAACATAGCATAGCGCAGCATAACATATCATGTCATATCATAGCGCAGCATCGTATAGCATAGCATATCGCAGCATAGTATAGTATAGCATAGCATAACGCAGCATATCATATTGTAGCATAGCATGGCATGGCATAGCGCAGCATAGAATAGCATAGCATAGCGCAGCATAGCATAGCATAGCAAAACACAGCGCAGCCGAGCGTACCCTAGCACATCGTAGCATAGCATAGCGCAGCATCGCGCAGCATAGCACAGCATATCAAATTTTAACATAGCATAACATAGCGCAGCATAGCATAGCATAGCATAGCATAGCAGCAACGCAGTGTGTATGTGTAGGCGTAGATGTAGATGTAGATGTGAGTCTCGCTATTGATGTTGATGTAGATGCAGATGCACGTGTAGATGTTAATGTAGCTGTCGGTGTAGATGTAGATGTTGCTTTCCTAGATGCTCCAACTCCTAGGTAGGGTCGCACTGGGATAATTCTTCTTAGCGAAAAAAACACTCCCTCCAACTTCCGCCATAGAGGAAAGAGAAACATGCACATACACCGATGATGGCCAGGCCCATCCTGAACCCATCCTTGGCCAGGAAGGTATGTGCACCGATCCTGGGTCAAGGATGGGCGTTGTCAGGATCGGTGCGTGTGCATAGCTCTCTTCGCCCGACATCAGGCTCCGTTTCATGGCGAGGACGGCCCACGGCGCGAGGCGCCGCAGCTGGCCGCCCCTCCCCCGGGGGGGGGGCGCCCGCCTGCTTGGCGACCCTCGCCGACCACATCGCCGCCGGCTGCCACCGCGCGGCCGTGCGAATTCCAAACGGGCGGCGGCCAGAGGGGCCGAGCTGCTGCGGAGCCGTCGCCTCCACGCCCCCTCCCTGCCCTCGAGGAGAAGGAGGAGGAGGAGGAGAAAGAGGAGGGGGAGGAGGAGGAGGAGGATTGATGGGGAGGGCGAGGGGAGGAAGAGGAGGAGGAGGAGGAGGAGGAGGTTCGAGGTTCGAGGTTGTCTTGCGTTTGCGTTGGTTCTCGGCGGTCTTCCATCCTCAGGATGCCTTCGCGCGGCTGCGCCTCGCCGTGAGCGTTCCTGGGGTGCCCGGATCGCCCCAACGGCCGCCGGAGAGCCGAGTGATGGCCCGAAAACAAAGGGCAACGTCAGGAGGGGATCAGCTCAGGGGGTCGATGCGTCCCCTGTGGAGCCGATCCCCCCCTACTCAGCATGGCCCATGACCCACTCCGCCATTATCACTCGACGAGACTTCTGTGCGCATGGTGCTGCGATGTGTGCAGAACACGCATTACTGAAACAAGCGAGCCAGAGCCACGCATACGCTTTTCGAGTATATGCTCTGGCGCAGGGCGCAGGGTGTGAACGCAGGGCAAATGCGGCAGCATATCACAGAGAGCGTTGTAGCGTCATGTGGGTATCAGTGGAGCTCCGCAGTGGTCACTGGGGAGGGGCACAATGGCAAATCCATAACCTCGCAAATCTCCACAAACCTGCACAGCACAAGCGTGCCACGTGTGGAGGACTTTTCTGTTCCGCTGACTGGGCTATCCGCGCCATATCCGAGGCCAGCCGAAGCTCCACCGAAACAGCTCCAAGGCTATCCGAAGCCATTCCGTGGCTACCCGAGGCCACTCCTGTGTCATACCGGGGCCGAAGGATATAGCAAGTGCCTGGACAGAGAGAGGAGGTCCCCCGCACATTCTACGTTCATGATCCTCGGCTGCGCCACAAAAGAGGGCTGGGCCCCACACCTAGAAGCCAGAGAAAACATGTGATGCACAAAGTTGCCTCCCTCCCCGCCTGCCCACACATCGGCTGCGCCGGTGAAAGCGGCCAGGATCAGGGGGGTGCGCACCGTGGGCCGAGGCACGTGAACGGCCGAGGGGTGGAGCCCGGGAACGCACGGACACAGGAAGAGGGGGTCATGAGATCATGGGGACGTTGTTTGACGCTGGCCATGATATCCGCACATCCCTGGCCCTACTGTGGAGCTGGTTTGGCGAGGACTTGCGAGAGGACACAAGACGCGTCCGAGGGCTACGTTGCCATAGGGATGTCGAAGCCACGCGCCTCGAAAGACAGGACACGAGGGTACCCTTGACTTGGCAGGGTCGATCTACTGTAGTCCTCACCCCTCTCTTGGACGCCTCTGAAGAAAGGCCGTTGTGCTATTCTGGGGGTCACGGGATAAATTTTCGACATGGGAAGGGGGGCCCCCTGCGGGAATGTGGCTCGGGCTCGATCTGGATTAACGAGCACCCTATACTGAGGCCCGAGCGTCGTCGTCGTTGCGCGACGGCGCCGCCGCCGGGGCCGGCGCTCGCCGTCACCGGCTGCCACCACGGAGGGACTGGGACACCCCCCCTCCCAGTTCGACCCCATCCCCCCTCTGCACTTCAGGCCCCGACACGTGCTCGAGCCCCCCCACCCCTTGCCAGCGTCCGCAGGGCTCGCTCTTTCATAGATGACGAGATCGATGGTGCTGTCCACTTGTGTCCCGAGCTCTTGCATGATTTACGCATGCTCTTCTACAGGAGCGAGTGCGCGGGCAAATAGATGACACCTGGTTTCCGTTGGTAGCCCTGGTGCTTTGGCGTCTCGTACTGCGATCAGCTTGGGTAACGGCTGTTGCCCGGGGGGGGACGGCGGGTTACGGTTACGGCGGCCGAGGCGTGCGCCCGCCAGGGTGCGTCCGCGCCATCGGCACATCAATTGCCTGCGCGCGCTGCAATCCCTGTGCGCGCGACAATGCCAAATGCACTCGTGCAAAACAACGCCGCCTGAGTGCACCACAATGCTTCGGTACACCACAACAGCTGCGTGCACAACACCACCGCGTCGCCCATGTACGCCGCAATATCTGTGTATACTGCAGCAACCGTGTGCGCAACAGCGCTTGTGTACACCACATTGCCTGTGTGCACCAGAGCACTTGTGTACACCGCAGCGCCTGCGTGCCCCGCAGCAACCACGTGCACCACAGCGCCTGCGTACGCCTCAACGCTTCCGTGCACCATAACGCCTGTCTACATCAAAAGGTGCCAGCGGGCACATCAGTAGGTGGCGAAGCCTTTTGTGTGGGGCCTGCCACAGACCGCGGGAACCCTCACCACGTCGCCCGTGTACACCGCAATGTTTCTGTGTAGTGCAACAGCCGTGTGCGTCACAACGCCTGTGTGCACCACATTGCCTCCTCCTTTTCCTCCTCCTGCGTTTGGTCCTCCTCCCCCTCCCCCTCCCCCTCCCCCTCCTCCTCCTCCTCCTCCTCCTCCTCCTGGTCCTCCTCGCCTTCGTCAACGCCAATTGTGTCAGACGCTGCATCCGCCGGCCCCCTTGTGGGGCCACCAGGCTGTAGGCCTAAGCTTCGCAGTTTCCTGTGCCAGTTGCAGCTTCCAGTTTCCATTGTTACAGTTATGCTTCTTGCTGCTTATTGTTCCTTGTTGACTTCTTGTCTGGGGTGGGTAAAAATTGTTGGGGTGGGTAAAAACTGCTGGGCAAAATTAAACATGAAAAAGAAGCCCCGTCGGCTCGCTTGCACGCCGCACTTTCGGTCCAGAACTGTGCGATCAGACGGCAAATGGGGGGCTGGAGGAGGGGGGGGCGCGGGTAAGGCCAGAGAGCTGCCGTGCAGAGAAACTCGCGCGAGCATAAAACAAAATCCCACGCGCGCCCAACACACACACAGACACACACACACACACACACACGCACACACACACACCCACACACACACATTT